ACTAACTACAGAGCCAGTGTTTGAGTCTCGACCCTGACAGCACACATCACAGAGAGGTGACAGTGGAGGCACATCTTCCTGTATGAGTTGGCTGTGGATGACAATCTGCCAAACTAAAATAGTGGAAGAGACATTGGGTGTATAAAAATGAATCAACTTGGCTTAGCTCTAAGGTATTTTGCAAGATTCTAGAAATATAGTCCCATTTTTTCCTAAGACGGTTTTTATGAACAAAACAGATATATATAACAAAAACAGAATCATGTGGGGAAAAGTTTATTTTAGTAATTTCACTAGTTTAAGCAATGTTGTTGATCTTCGTATTTAATAAAAATCAACAGTTTGGCAATCTACAAGTTTATTTACATATATTACTTTACCTTTAATAGACATATTTTTTCTATTTAGTAACTGAAGAAATTAGGATCAAAATGTTTAAATAATTCCCCCAATTTAGAAAATGGCTGACCTGGAATTTGAACTCAACTTTATTTCACTGTCAAGCCTTAGTTCTTTGTATTTTGACGTATTGCATTATAGAATAAAAGTTCTGTGTTAAAAAAGAGAACCTTTTAGGTGCAGTTATTTGGAAAATATTCATGAAAGAGAGTGGTATTCATGCATGTCTATACTCACATATGTGTATGATATTTATCTTAAACTATACGTTGTATATATACATATACATACAGTTGTTCTTATAAAACTATTTATGGATTTTATTGCATATAGTCCTGTCTTACAGAAGGGGCTCAGTATTACCTCCTGGAAATAGGGAGATCCATTACAATGAAATAGTAACCATCTGATGTTATGATATTACATGGATTGGGGTACTAAAGAATTTATATGATTTCACTAAAAACCGAGAGAAAGAAATTAATCTCCCTAAGATATCATCTTAGAAGATAGAATATGGATCTATTTATACGTCAGATAAATAGATAAATGATCAAAAATAGATGGATCGATTGAAGTAGATAATCATACATGGATATGCAAAATAAGGATTAACTCAATGATTTCTGGGGTAAAAGCAAAGTGACACTTTTCTGCTTTAAATCCCTTTAAATTCCTGATTATGCTCTTTAATGACAGCTTTTTCCCTTTTTTCCCCTGCAGTTGGACAGTGTCACCTCCCTGATCCAAGCAGCCAAAAATTTAATGAATGCTGTAGTGCAAACAGTGAAAATGTCTTACATTGCCTCAACCAAGATCATCCGAATCCAAAGTCCTGCTGGGCCCCGGCACCCAGTTGTGATGTGGAGAATGAAAGCTCCTGCAAAAAAACCCTTGATTAAAAGAGAGAAACCAGAGGAAACTTGTGCCGCTGTCAGACGAGGCTCGGCAAAGAAAAAAATCCATCCAGTGCAAGTCATGAGTGAATTTAGAGGAAGACAAATCTACTAAAACCACTATTCTACTCTAGTGCTTGTATTACAAAATCCTGCTAACCACACTGCTTCTTTCACACTTGATTGATTCTGTAATTTCACTAAGTTTTGGAGTTTGACTCACAAATAACATAACATATTGGGGGTTGAACCAACATAAATAACATATAGTTAATCAATATTAGCTTGTTGAATGAAGGAAACATTCAGATGTCATTCAGCTATTCCCATTACAGGGGTTATCTTATCTTTACCAGATGAACACAGGTGTGAGTCCTGTTTATCTGTAATAGTTCCAGTACACTCACCCTTTTTATTTTGAATTAAAACACTAACATGAGCTCTTAAATTGGTTTTCAATGGGAAAAAAAAAGACTTTATAAAATATTAATACTTTCCCATTTAAATTTCATGCTTTCTTTACCTGACCTAAGCTGGTAAATGTGTGAATCCTGCCATAGGAAAAAAAATTCAGTCTCTAGATCTCCATACTTACAGTCAACTGATTAGGGTAATATCCATTATAAAAGTAACAAATTTGAGCAGTGAAGCTACTTTCTGGATTTTGAAGATCAGCCTTAAGGAGTTAATGAAATGCTTCATTTACATTATAAAGATTATCATGAGTTTTGATGCCACATCTACACATTTTAGAGTTCCACTGTGTTGGGAATTTCTACACTTTTAAGTGTGAGGTCCGTCACAATACACATATGGAAGAAGAGTTATCAGTCATTGGGAAAATGAGACACCAAACTGTATCCCAAAGTGAGTTATAATAACAGAGTGTAAGAAATTTGGCATGACCCTAAAAATCCATTTGTATCAGCTCGTAATTGCAATTAAATGGAAAAGCCCAGTTTGAAAAACCTTTGGCATTGAGTAAAATATAACTGTGTGAATTGTACCATTGAACTATGAAGCAGAGTTCATGGTAATAAGGCTAAAGTGATTTTAATAACATTCTCTTAAATGAAAGTCATCAGGGTCATTTTATAACTCCAATCACTGTGCTCATTCCCTAGTTGAGTTCATAATAGACTTCATAATAGCCTGAGACTAGAGCACTACTCTCTCTCTCTCTGTCTCTCATGCACACACACACACATACACACACACACACATGCATGCTGACCCAAAGTGTCCCTTTTATATTGGACTTTCCATAAGTTCCTTGGAGGAGTTAAATTTCAGTTTCACTTTTTCTCACTCATAGGACTCCCGTTCACAGGATATTTTTTTTACATTTCTCATTCTACTTTATCATAATAATACTATAATTGTAACTTCTCACTTGTATAACATTACCATTTGAAGATTTGTTTCAATGACCATGTCACCTAGATTGATGAAATAAAATGTATACATGCAACACCAGTTGATGTTAGGAGGATGGGCTTGCATAACACTAACAAGGCATAAAGGTTGAAAGCATGTTATGTATAGTATCTTGAGCAAAATAATATGGGAAAAGAAGAATCTATTTACTAAGCTATGATTAATTATGGGAGAAATATTAATTTTCTTGTATTATAATGAATTATTTAATTCTTCCAATAATGTTGGATTGCCTGGGCTCAGTGCAAAATTTCCCTAGTAGGTAAAAGCAATAAACTCCTCCCTGTCTTGAACTATAGACTGGTCCACAATAGCTATTCTGAACAAAGTCCACTCCCTAAAAGAGAAGGCAATAAAGAAGGGAATTAGGAAATCCACATGATTCTATTTTTCAGAACTATCTAGACAATTGAGACAAATAAGAAGCTACCATCATTTTATGCTTTAAGTGTAGACATAGAAACAGTTACATCCATGGCATATCCTCCTTTCGGGTAGAAATGCAAAGTTATAATTTAGTTGAGACAAAAAAATTAAATCCCCAAACTACTAGCTATGTATCTTCACTCCTAAAGCCACATGCACAAGCATCATAAGAATCTCATTCAGAAAATCTAATGTCCATTTGACCCTATATCGTATTTCCACATGTTGGAATTTGGAATACGATGTTGGATACCAAAAGAACAGGAATAACTTTACACAATTACCAAATAACCTCCATTTCGTTAAAAAAGACTCTTTACCCAAAATAAGATTGAACAAGGCCTCTCTTTAATGTAGGCAGATTTTCAGCTTAGCTCAAAGCAAACAACTATAATTAAACAAAACAATAAAAATTTTAACTTGGCAAACATCCCAAGAGTTAATCTGCTGTGGTAATCAATGGTTCAATAAAAACAGGACACATAGAGCTGAAAAAGACATCTGTTCACCTGAGTGAATTCCTGCAGTGGGTAGCATTTCAAGATTTCATTCAATTCAAACCTGCTGATAATATAAATGCTTACACATAAGTAAAACTAGCAGCAAAATCTTAACAATATAAAGTATAGTTAAATGAATCCAATCCATGAGCATAACTCTAGTGGA